ATAATTTCGTGTGTTATAGCCCACGCCTTCGGCCGTGGGCACGAGCCTCCAGACCAGGATCGGCTAATATTTTTTCGGGACATCAAATACGACCTAAGGAACCATGGTCACCACCTATCATGACCAAATTACATTTTTGTCATTTTACGGTCATAAAACTAGAATTCCGCTCGATTCCTATATTTTCGTGTGCTATAACCCACGCCTTCTGCCGTAGTCCCGGGCTCGCGGACCTGGATTGCCTAATATTTTTTCGGGACATAAATTATGACCAAAGGAACCATGGTCACCGCCTCGCCATGACCAAATTATATTTTTTGGTGTTTTACGGTCATAAAATTGAAATTCCACTCGATTCCCATATTATCGTGTGTTATAACCCACGCCTTTGGCTGTGGGCCCAGGCCCTCGGACTAAGATCGCCTAATATTTTTTGGCGTTTTACGAACATAAAACTGGAATTCCGTCAGATTCTCATATTTTCATGTGTTATAGCTCACGCCTTCGGTCGTGGGCCTGGGGACCAAGATCGCCTAATATCTTTTTGGGACATCAAATACGGCCTAAGAAACTATGGTCACCACCCCGCCATGACCAAATTATATTTTGTGGCATTTTATGACCATACAACTGGAATTCCGCTCGATTCCCATATTTTCGCGTGCTATAGCCCATGCCTTCCGCTGTGGGCCCGGGCCCCCGGACTAGGATCGCCTAATATTTTTTTGGGACATAAAATACGACCTAAGGAACCATGGTTACCGCCCTGCAATGACCAAATCACATTATTTGGCATTTTACGACCATAAAACTGAAATTTCGCCCGATTCCCATATTTTCATGCGTTATAACCCACGCCTTCCGCCGTGGGCCCGGACCCTGTACCCGAATCGCCTAATATTTTTTCGGAACATCAAATACAACCTAAGGAACCATGATCACCGCCCAGCCATGACCAAATTACATTTTTTGGCATTTTAAGGCCATAAAACTGGAATTCCGCCCGATTCCCATATTTTTGTATGCTATAGCCCACGCCTTTCGTCGTGGGCCTGGGCCTTCGGACCCGGACCACCTAATATTTTTTGGGGTCATCAAATACGACCTAAGGAACCATGGTCACTGCCCCAACATGACCAACTTATATTTTTTGGCGTTTTACGGCCATAAAAATGGAATTTCGCTCGATTCTCATATTTTCATGTGTTATAGCCCACGTCTTCCGCCGTGGGCCCTAGTCCCTGGACCTGATTTGGTACATCAAATACGACCTAAGAAACCATGGTCACCGCCCCGCCATGACCAAATTATATTTTTTGGCGTTTTACGACCATAAAACTGGAATTCCGCCTGATTCCCATATTTTCGTATGCTATAGCCCACGCCTTCTGCCGTGGGCCCGATACCCAAGACCCGGACCGCCTAATATTTTTTGAAACATCAAATACGACCTAAGGAACCATGGTCATCGCCTCGCCATGACCAAATTATATTTTTTGGCCTTTTACGGCCATAAAACTAGAATTCTACTCGATTCCCATATTTTCGTGTGCTATAGCCCACGCCTTCTGCCATGGTCAGGACCAGGATCACCTAATATTTTTTTGGGACATCAAATACGACTTAAGGAACCATGGTCACCGTCCCACCATGACTAAATTATATTTTTTTGCGTTTTACGGCCATAAAACTGGAATTTCGCCCGATTCCCATATTTTCGTGCGTTATAGCCCAGGCCTTCCACCGTGCGCTATAGATATTCTAGAGTGTTGAATATTTAGGAAAGATATTAGCAGAAGATGATAGAATTCTCTAGATTATTTTTGTATCTAGAATCATCCCTAGACAAGTATAAATAGGAGTAGTCTTAGGCATTTGTATTGAAGCCAAATTCAAGAAATTCTTTTTCAATAACAAAGTTCTCCTTTCAAAAATCTCTCTTCTCTTTTTAAGCTTCCTCTTCTTTAGTTGAATCCTCCAATCTTAGTTATCGATGTTGGGCTAGCAGAAGGTCTCCGAATAATACTGCTCTTCTGCTATTCTTTATAGAATTTAATGTTCAATTTTACTCGCTATGTTGCTCGGATCCTCCAAAGGTGTGGCCGCACCCGTATCGGATCCTCCACAATATATTATGCATTTTTGGAGAATCCGAGCAACATACCTGACATGTATGTTCTTGGTTTAGGAAGTTACCCTCGTCTCATCAGAATATTGCTTATTGATTCTTTTCAGTCCTGAATTACATCACCACTTGAACATTGGACAACTTAATTTTTTTCCCACCTAACTGGCTTGCTGTTAACTGACATCTGTTGGACTTGGAAGGTGTACGGTAAAAAATGTAGAATGCTGGTCAGAAACCAGAAATGGAGAAACATTTTCAGCGTGCTTAGTTTAGTAAAATCATTACTCTCTGGGATCTGTATTTCGTCAAGTTTTAACTATTTCATGTGCTTAAAGTTGATTCAGTACTATTAGCAAATGTTAATTGTTCAACTTTCAAGATAGCAGAACTCTAACTTGAAATGTATAATGTCCTACTTCCCTTAAAAATTCTATTTCTTGAAATTATGAAGCTTCATATCCATGATAATCTTTAATGCCATCATTAATCTATTTGGTAGGAACAAGCTTGTTTCTTCTATATGTAATCTTGTCCATCATTTACAGAGAAAAGGATGGACTTATGCTCTTTTACCTTGTTCCTAAATTGTACACAAAGGCACTCATCAAAGGTTGGACGGATCCTTATATTTTCTATCCTAGCCAACTGTTGAAAACCTATGATTTTCAGTTCCTCTTGGGACCCTTTTTGACATTATGGATCTTGAAGAAGCAGCACAAAGAGTCACATTTGGTACAAAACTACAATGAGATTCCTAATGCTCATTTGCCAACTGTTGAGTCCATAAAATTGGTTTCCCTTTTTCTTTTTCTTTTTCTTTTTCTTTTTCTTTTTCTTTTTCTTTTTTGGGTAACGTGATTTCCCTTTGTTGTTATAATGATTTCCCTTTATGTATACAGAGTTCTTCGATGTAAATGGAGGATTCATCTATGCTAAAGGATACATAGAACGACGTATCCTTGCAAAAAGGAACACATGATTTTTTACTAGTACGTAGTAATTGGTATACCATTTAATTATATATATATATATATAATGCGGTCCCTTAAATTTGCATGTTTCCATTTAGGCACTTAAACTAAGCTTTGTTGTTATTAACGCCTAAACTTGAGTCATACTATGCATATTAGACACATACTGCTGACATGACACAAAGAGTGTGCCACATTTTTTTCTAAGCGTGTGAGAGGCCATCTTTCTCTACAAAAATTCTCTTCTTTTTAGTTCTCTCCATGCCATCGCGTCCTCCACTGTCCACCACTGTCCATGCCAAAAATCTCACCAGCAATGGAAACCACCCGTAACCACTCCATTGGAAAGCTCATCATTGCGGAAAAATCCACCAAATGATTGCCAATATAAGATAAGAAAATTTTGTTCCACAACACGGCACACTAGCTGCCATTTTTCTGAAATAATGTTTGTCTAAATGATTTTAAGTGTTTGCAGGACTTAAGTGGAACTGCAATTGTTGCTAGAAAACGCATACTATTGTGTAGAACAGAAGTTTTGACAAGTTATGATTATTGTGCTTTTTTTTAAGAAAAGGCTATTTTTTTCTTACGAAAACTTTTTCCAAGTTCAAAGCCTAAAATTTACAAAACAATTGAGTTTGTTTGGTTTTAATCTCGATTTGAGCAGAACCCAAATCGTCCCTTACCTAGCTTAGAAAGTATTCATAGTAATTTTGTTTATATATCTTTTTTCCATGTCAACACCGATGGTTTTTCGGGGCGGGGATTATGGGGGTTGGGGCAAGGGGTGAATTGTCTGAGGGTAGGTGTATCTGAATAAGGGGGGTGTTGGGTGATGTGCCCAAAACTGATTGGTTGATCTGGAGATTGAAACTCACTATGCTTTCAAGTTTTGGCTAATGGTCAAAAAACTGAAATATTCAATAGGAATAAGGTTTAATCAAGGTGTCTAAATGAAAAAGTCTGGGCAAATTTAATGGACCGCAAATGCATTCAGCCTCTTATTATTGTGCCCATATGGTGTCGCTAGAAGGAACAAACTCATCCAGCAGCTGTATTCATCTTGTCTTGGTTGTAAATTAGAGATAGAGTTTGCTCCGGGGTCACAAACTCAACAATAACTAAACACCAGCATTGTGTTCAATCATCCAAATGAAGTACATATCACTATCTTCGACTTCTTTCTTCTTCAACTTTTTTCTTTTACACTAGTATCCGCATCGCGTCAATCAAATCTCATACAGGTAGTACGCGCGACCCCTTCTTTTTACCCCTCGTTGGTCATTCCCCTACTACATGCTTCCTTTTCTACTTTAACTCTGACCCCTCTAATCCCTTTTCACTCGATCATATAATCAAAAAGTTGTTAGCAAGAAGCACTCCATTACGAGAATAAGCAACATATACTCCTGCTTGTGGCATCTAAGGTTAGGTGTAGACTTCAGTAAAATTGGTCAGACTTCTTACGCTCTACTCCTAATTAAGAGCTCCCCCAATTTGAGTAAACTTGGGATTTGGGTAAGTAATGATCTGGTTCATTTTTGTACTCGTATATTTGAATACAAGAAGCTAAAATAAGTTGGTAGGTCAATGCTACCGGCGATAATGGTGAAGCAGTTTTGAAATACCTGGACTCACCAACCTGCTTGGACCGACCACTCAACAAGCTGAAAGATGTAGCCTTGCAACTCTTGGGGGGCTCAAAAACTGAACTGCTTTCATAAAACTATTGTTTGCTCGTACTCCATATACTCCATATTTGGTGAGGATGAGCACTAAGCAAACGAGAGCCTTTGACTCCACGGAAGAAAGAAATATTTGTGGCAAGGCGCTGGATGGCTACACTGCAGCAGCAACATTCCCACCAAAGATACAACTGGTAAACCAATGTTCATGTCTTACATTAACTAATTCCGACTTATGCTTTAAATGGATCATGTTTATAAATTGCACATTGGTTCGGATATTAAACTATGCAAACAAATTGAATCATAACGCCTAAGACTTGAATTTTCTAAGGATGGTGAAACCTACATAGGAAATTAACTAAGAAATGGCCATATGGCGAACTAAGTGATGTAGTCTTAAAACTGAAAATTAAACGAGTCAACAATGCACTCTACCCTTTCGGCGATTATCTAATTCAGGTAACATCCAAGCACACTCTTTGATATTCATTGTCTCACCAAAAAAGCCACCTCATCTAGAAGTCGCATCCAATGGTTTCTGTTCATAACTTCTGCTTGCTAGGGAAAGCTGGGCAGTTAAAAGAAAACACATGGATAGAGAGCATGATTTCATAGGACGCAGCTTCTTAAAATATGTCCATCACATTCCCAGCTGCCAAATCTCACTAGTACTTGGAAGTGAAATTATGATCGATAGACCCCACAAATGCGTTGCGCAAGCTACAAACTGCACAAAAGTATTAGACATATATAACCCGATCAACCAATTCCGTTAAAAATTATAGCTAATGAACCTAAGATGGCACATTATCCGCCAGAAAATAAGGAACTTCCAAAGATTACAAAAGCATGTATCAATCATCAACCTGCGACATCCGCTGAAAGCCAGGGCAAACTGCAAAAAGAAAAATGTTGAATCTTGATTTCTGCCAACAGGTTCTCACCAAACAATAAATGAACATGCCAATGAAAAGGGCAATAAGTCTACCTGCTTTTGCTATTGAGCTCATAAAACAACCGACGAATACAGCATATATCACAGCCCTTAACAGGATTAAAGCTGTGTTGATAAAATAAACGCATCAGAGAAACCATAGTCACTTTCTCCATACAGCAGACTCCATCAAAACAAACCAAAACAATGAAGGGGGCTCAAGTGCCCCAAAAAACGCACCACAAAAGAGGCAGTTGTGCTTGCGACAAGTATCTCCCACCACGACAAGCATATCTTCTACAGAAATAAGTCCTAAAGTCCAGATAAGAATCAGAGATAATAAATTGCTATGCGAAGCCTCTAAAATTATAAGGAATATCTGCCAAGAATACATTAGAAAATTCTAATCCAGAATGGCCTTGGACCTAGAAGATACAACAAAATAACAACTGAGCTCTAGTTAGGGTGAAGCAACTGCACATGTTAAGACAAACACAAATTAGTAGCATAAACACAACGTACAGTCATTGCACTTAAAAACATAGAACTAATAAACTTCCTGTTGTCCTCATGGATGAATGCCAACATGCCAAAATCTGTAGTAGATACCCACAACCATCAGCTTGAAGGATAAAGTTGATTAAATTGCAGAAAGAAAAACTAGAAGTACAAGACCAATATAATCTCCAAAATAACATGAAAGACGTATAAAGAAATCTTTGAATTCATAACAAGGATTAGATATGCCGAACAGTTCCAAAATAAACCTTTGAAGGCCATGCAAAATAACTCCCCATTCATCTCTTTCTGCCACCACGTTCTCTCAGAGAGAGACTGAGAGTTTCTCCAGATGCAACATTATAGTATGCAAGAGACAAGTTGTCCTTGAGAAAACCAGCCTTTCCACTCAGCTTTTGTTTGTTTGCAGGAAGCTGGACCTCCCCGGAAATCTTCTCTTTTAGACTGGCAATGCTTTCAGACAGAGATTGCACTGTGATTTCCAGAACTTGTCCTTTGAGATTCCCTTCGTCAGTATTCGGCACAGATACATTGATCCTTGCAGGACCCTGCAATACAACCCAGCAGGAAACAAAATTTGCAAGGATGTAAGTAAACATGAGGCATTAAACAAAGTTCTAAAAGAGACACAGACAATTATGTAAAACATTGGGGGGGAAATAAGAAAGAAAGCTATCCCTACCGAGTGCTGAGCCAAAAACTGCTCTTCAGGAATGAGAACAGACTCATCAAGCTTTTGCCTCTTCGGCTCTGGCTCTTCAGGTAGAGGAGGGGCTTCTTCCAGTGGAGGAGGAGGAGGCATTCCTTGGGGAATAGGAGGAGGCGGAATCATAGACATTCCGGGCTGGGACATCGGGAGGGGAACAAAGGGGCGAGGTGCTCCCAAAGGTGTAAACTGTGATCCAGGAGGTGGTGGAATAGGATGGCCATGCGAATTCATGGCCATTGATGGAGGCATTGGTGGACGATTTACCATGAGATTTTGCTGACCTAGCATCTGTGGCATGGGAGGAGGTGGGGGCCGAACCTGAGGAATCATGTTAACCATAGGAGGTCGAGGTGGAGGCGGAGCAGCAACCCCAGCACCGGTGGAGGTGGAATACTGGACGGTATTAGGAGGCCTAGGAATATTCAGCGCAAGCCCAGGAGGTGGAGGTAGTGGCCTAACAGATGGAAAACCAGGTCTGGGAGGTGGAGGAGCCTGCGGACCAGGAAGGTTTCTTTCATCATTTGCAGCATCATTCTGATCATCTGCATTAGTGTTGTGAGACATTGCCTGGCTTGCAGTGCGACCAATGCTACCTGTGTGACCATCCCATATGACCTGCTTCGGCTCTTCCTTTTTTTTCTCAATCTCAGCCTTGACCGCATTTGAAACTTCTTCTTCCGTAGTACCAAATATATCCGGACGGGTTCTTGCAAGCCCAACAATGTTCCTAGATATCTCATCATCCTGCGCAAGAGTTGTCTCCTTAATCTTCGCAAACATCCTGTCTTTCTGTTCCTTGTACTTTGGATCAATGAGAGAGATCCTCATATGTTCAGACATTTCATTAATAGGTATTAGCTCACCAGTTATAGGAGAGACAACATACTTAGTCGGGTCCCTTTCTGCGGGGATCCTCTCTTCAGGCCTCTTCCAGTTCTTCACAATCCGCATAGGTGGGTCCTGTTCCTCTGCAATTCCCATGGTTTCAGCACTCTTGACATCACCATTCTCTTGAAGAGTCGCAGCTCTCATACCTTCTTCGACTAGCTGCACCTCTTCTTCATCCATCTCCATTTCCACCTCTTTTCCAGGCTCAACATACTCTTCTTCCTCCAATGTAGGCATCTTGCTCCTCCTTATAACCTCCTCAAGGGTCATAGGTGGAGGTAAATCCTGATCCTCATCATCAGCAAAATCTATAGTCTCAACGACAACAAAATCATGCCAATCAATCATAGCCATCTGCAATCTCTCCTGTTCTATCTCATCTTCAGCTTTCTGCCTAGCCTGCTCCTGTGACTTTTCCCACTCCAATCGATGCAGACATCGCTCCAGGACTGTTGTCATGTCAGCAGCACTCTTCCGCAGCTTATCCGTCAAGCCTTTAGGAGGCATCAGAACTTTCGAATACGCATCCGCAAGTGAAGTGAAAAACATGAACATGCTGTGAGTAGGCTTTAGAAAATGAAACTGCGGATTATTAATCTCCCTGCTCGTCAACCCTGTTAAGAAAGACTTCCCATTTCTGGCCACAAATTGTGCTGTAAGCTTAATGATATCCAATTCTTCACCTGTGATCCCTTCAGGGAGTCTAACAGTATATTGCTCTGCCTCAGGTGGCTCAAGAACCCTTCTGACAGGTCTAAACTGAGCAGACGGATCAGGCCTAGCAGTTGCCTCAGCACCATCAGCGGTAGGAGGAGCAGGGGCTGCTTCTTGGTCTGCTGGTTGAGTAGGCTGCTCTCCAGAAGCCTGATTCTGTGCACGAGCTTCAGCCAAACGGTGCTGATAATAGGCATGGTAAGGATCAGAAGCACTCAGGAAGTTAAATTTTGCATTGCCAGCGTTATTTAGAACAATCCTCTTCTCAAATTCTGGACCATTCTTCGCCACAAACTGTGCAGTCTTGTCGACAATACTCCTAATATCTGGAGGCGGATAAATGATACCAATGGTTCTCGTATGTGTTGCAACAGACGTTGGAACATTATTGGCTTTATTGTTGTCCTCTTCATTTTCCTCCATGTTATCATCCTTTGGTTCCTCTACCACCTGCGCTGGAGGTGTTGGTCCCAGATTCCCATCCAACGGGGGCGCTGGAAGGGGTAATATTGGCGTGGTGCTCAACATTTCTATTCCTGCAAGTTGCAGCAAATTCTATTTTTTTAAAATGATCAAGCAGTTATGCGGTAGCATAAGCACCAATAATAGTATAAAAAACCCCAAAAATATGCTTCTATCTTCATTTTGCTTTCCCCAGGCAAACCCCATGAACATGCTCATCACTTCAGTTGTCATTGAAGCAATCGAACCCTAGAATAAAACCTATACCTCAACTTATTCAAGAACGAAACCCCAAGAATATGCTGATAGCTTCATTCATTCAAGTAACAACAAAAAAACCAAAAGTAAGCCCAATAACTCGAACTTCATTCAAGCAAGCAAAACCTAAATACAAACTTACACCTTAACTTTCATTTAAAAGAGAGAAAAAAAATGTGCTCATAGTATCATTTCACTCAAGTAAGCAAAAGCAATACATATTCTAGTATTCTACAACTTCGGAAAGCCTTATTAGTGCATTTGCAGTTTCTACAAGAATCTACAGAAGATTAATGCTGGATTGACTTAGTTGTAAAGTTTATAGGCAATTTTTTGAGAGTCATATGCGGAAAATAGCGTCGAGCAAACAGAACTGCATACAATCCCAGCAAAAAATAGTAAACAATCCACAGAAACTAAAGTACCCAAATGCAGAAAAAGAGTAATGCAAACAGAGAAGAAAAAATATATGAAGCAAGACAAGGCAAACTAAACAATCTGCATTCCCATTGATTAAGCATCAGAAATTTATCCAAACCCAAAATTAATCAATCACACATAAAAGTGGGCTCTCTAAACAACAAGCGCTAAAAACTCAAAATTAATCACAAGATGTCATGAACCTTCAAGCTCAATTGTGTAAATGAAAGAATTAGTTATACCGGAATTACAAATACCCAAATTAAGGGTCCAGATTAGAAGTAGTTTAATGAGCAGAAACGGCCCAGATCAGTTCAATTGAAGATATAAGCCAGCTAGGATAGAGAGAAAGGGCATAACAGAATTCGGGTAAATTTCTCTTTCTTCCTTCTCGATAACCTCGTGTTCCCTTCTCTTCTTTTTCTTCTAAATTCTGATCCAATCCTCTCTTTTCTGCAGGTATCCAGTCCCATGGAGAGTTACTAGTTTCTATTTCCTTTATTAGTAGAATTAGGTTGTAATACAGTTGTCAATTTTCCATTTATATAAACAGAAAATCGTCCCAGAACAATTGTTCTTCATCTAGTTTATTAAAATTCTCAATTCAATAATCAGAAGTTGACACGAGAACTTTTACAACTGGCTAAAACCAAAAACACCACAAAAAAAATGTTGCAAAAGATTGTATCTTTTTCCTGAAATCTTAAAAACATTTTGGGCAGTGGGCATACCTTACTTAATCTCTTCTCTTTCTTATTAAGTAGTAGTAGCTCTAGCAAGTCATTACCTTTCCATAATTAGATGGGGAGGATTCAATAACACAGAGTATAGTAAAAATAATTCTCTGTTTGCCTTAGAAATGATGAAGATTGAAGAATGAAAAAGTTGAGCGCGAAGTGGCGAACCTGTTGAAGACTTGAAGAGGAGAGGAGTCACTCGCCGATAGAGATGGCGAATGGTGTGGGGCGGTGCGGTTACAGGGCAAACCCGCGAAGACTTAAACCTGCCCCGCAAAGCAAAATTTGTTGTTTTTAACTGCCCTGCACCGCGCAAAACCGGCCCCCATAAAAAAAATTAAAAATTTTTATTTTGGGATAATTATCAAAAGATACCACATTCTGATGCATTATATTCTTCTTTTTAGAGAAATTTTATGCAATATTTCCTGATTAAAATTGACAAGCTTAACATTCAGAGCTTCTGTACAGATTTCCCCCTTTTCTTGCTGACAATGGAACACATTAGCCCTTAAATCTAAACTTGCAATATTTTGGTCGAAAAGGAACTCTTGATAAGTCAAACTAAGACCTGCTTTGTTCCCTGGTTGTTGACTAAGTATACCTCTGCGTCTTGATACATTTAAAACAAGAAATTGAAACATGTGCACTAATTTTTGCCGACAAGTAATTCATGATTAAATTATTATACCAGTTCTTAAAGCACCACCCCAACATTTTGTCTTCATACTGTAAAAAAGATAGAATACTTTTTTCCAGGGGAGCTGTTCATTTCCATTTGACCAAGTGAAACATCTCCAAAGGAAAAAAGAACTAAATGCATCTAAGAAAGTGTCATATGGCCATATAGAATCAGATAACACCAGTGTTGCAAAAATTCCCTACAGCTGAGACTCCATACTTTTCTACAAGGCAAGAAAACGGATGACAATCACAAAATAATTAAAAACAGTAGGCTGATTACTAAACAGTAAATCATTAAATTGGCAAAAAAAAACGAAAAAGAGCATTAGAGGTTATATAATGATTGTTTCTTTTTAATTCATCAAATTCCTGTTAAATTAGCTATAGTTGAACTCCCTACTTAACATAACAAGTAGAATCCAAGAAACAATTACCAAACCTAGTAAAACCCGGTTTCAGATTCAATGTAAAACCCAAAATCAATCTTTTTACCTAACCCAAAACATAACCACAGTAGAGCAGCAAAAATACAGCGTGAGCTTCAAAATTAAGCTCGAATCTTATCCAAAAGAAAGAAAACAGAGAAAAAAAGAGTTATCTGATGTCCGTAATCTTCAAAATTAAGTGAAATTGTGGAAATGAAGAGTATACCAGGGATGAGGAGAGAGATTGTCGCAACTCGCAAGAAAAGAGAAAGATTGGTCCTGTTATGCCGCTTGAACTTGTCACTCGTCAGTCAGAGACAGATTGAGAGATCGGAGATGAGATTTGAGAGGGGAGATACGTTATTAGGTTTTAGTTCAGCAGTCGGTACCTTTCAGCGTTTTAGTGAGTTTTTCATCAAAATTGTCTATTTGGGAGCAGGTCCTTTAAATATACCTTTGAGCACCTTTAGTCCCTTAAATTTTCTAAAGCTGAGCACTTTTGGTCTAGCTAACGTGAAAACACATAGGCATCTCATGTGACTTGTAAAAACAAAGACCAGCTGCAAAACCTTTTACCACATTCTCCATTGTTCATCACTCCTGAATTTAATCGTTATTTAAAAGATTTAACGTAATTTTGTAGGTAAAAAACTCAGAAAGCCCTTTGTAGTTTATCCCATTTTTCAAATTTTGAGTGAAAATAAAACAAAATTATTCATAAAAGACAAAAATTAGCAAGTGTGAAACTGAAAGATGTTTCTTTTTCAAAATTACTTTTGAGTTCTCTATTCAATCAAGGTAACCCTCTTTCTATGACTCTATTTTTGTGTGGTTCTTTATTTAAAAGAGATCTAATCTTTATCTTGTACATGGCAAAAAAAAAATATAAGAAATGTAATAAAATAATATCACTTACTTCATCAGAAAAATAGTAAAACTAAAGCACCAAGAAGGGAATAAAATCAACTAAAAATATGTATATGGTTTACATTGTCTAGCAGTTGTCATTATAGCTTTCTAGAATCATCTATGATGCTTCGTGAGAAGAACCAGGAACAATAGAGAAGACTGACTTAATAATTCAACCACTTCGAGTTCACAACTATGAGTGAGGAGGTTCAAACTAATCTATTCTACCATCTATTTAGTATATATAATGATTTGCAATAAAAGGACCTTATAGCTAGCTTCTTTTTTGTCTTCTTGGAAACGGATTTTTCCCCAACTGTATATGTTTGTTGTTTGCTCGTTAGAGAAAGAAAAGAAGATGGGTTAATCAGAAATGCCTGCAAAACTTTTATATGAATGTGCTTGTTTCATTCTTATGCTTAGTTGACTGGTTTTGTGTAAATGGTTTGTAGTTTCGGATTTGGAGTGATCGTGAATAATGGAGAATAGAGAAAAATGTGTATATTTTCACCGTTAGTTTTAACTCCAAGTTTGCCACATTTTGTTAGCTAGACTAAAAGTGCCCTGCTTTAGAAAACTTAAAGGATTAAAGATGCTCAGAGGTATATTTAAAGGATAAAAAATAATTTTTGTTAAAAACTCCGTTTTAGCCTTTAGACTTAAGTTTTATTTTTATTTTTTGATATATTTTTTTAAAAAACTCTAGCCGCGACCCGCCCCGCTCCCGCACCGCCCCATTGCCTTGTCGAGGAGTTAAGCAGTGTATCACACCAAGCAGCGAATGTTTTGATTTTTGAGAGAAGTCTAGTATTAGAAACAAGGGAAAGAAACCTAGCCTAACTCCAAAGGGCATATGAAGTCGTGACTTGGGTCGGGTTGCACTTGGGTAGTTGGGTAGAGCTTATTGCCTTAGGGGTTGGACTTGGGTTGGGAACTTGAGCAGTTGGGCTTACTATATATTTCGGTATTTCGATTAATCGAAATATTGAAAGTTGAATATCAAGAACTGTATTGAACTATCGAACTTATAAAAAATTCATATTGTATTAGTACCAAAGAATCGAAGAATCATTATCGAAATATCGAATTAATTCGATCTGGTCTCATTTTTTGATTGTTCGATTTTATGTCCACCCTTAATTGTTGTTGCTTTGGGTAAAGAACAGGAGAAAAGACGAGGTGTTGGTTTGGGTGGATATCAGCCGGCAGAGAGAGGGGATATAAAAGAACAGAACAATCAAAAAAGAAAAATATGAAAGAACAAATCCAAAAGATGAAAATTGAAAAGACGGAGATTTTTAGTAGGTGTTTGGTCATGAGTTTTGGAAGTTTTTTTTTCAAAAAAAATAAATTCAAATATGTGTTTGTTTATTAATCTAGTTTTTAGGAGATTTTAAAAATCAAAATTTCAAATCTCAAATATAGCTCAAGACTTATTTTTGGGCCAAATCATAACCAGTTGAGACTTTTTAGCTGGAAAAAAAAAGGACTTTTTAACATATCAAAATTTTCCCCAAATTTCACATCTAAACATATTTTCAATTTCACATCAAACTTCACCCAAATCAACTCTTTCAAATTATATTCGGGAATTTATATCCAAATGTTTTACAAAAAAGGAACATCTGTGGAGAATTGGTGCCTAAATGCAAAAAATATCTTGCAACTCTCTTTTTGGTGTTATTCTCTCTTTGCCCTTTATTTTTGGGGGTTTTAGAAATCTGAACCTATTTTGTTTCTTAGCAACTTTTTCTTTTCTGGATACGAGCGTTGCACATATATCTCATTTAATTAGTATAAATAGTGTATATCTCATGTTAATCAGTACAAATGTTTTAGGACTTTTATATTTTTTTGCTCTCGTCAGTGTGTTTAGAGTGCTAAAAGAAATAGATATAGTTCAAAAGAAGGTGGTGAGACTTGTTAAGTCATCAAATAAACTTCTTAAAAATGAATCTTTTCTCATTGGGAGCCGGCTGTAATAGGACAGCGAGCATTTTTACCCAACGAGAAAGGAATGGGCATTTTCGGGCGGGGGTGGCAGTAAAAGTTGCCTTGTGGTGATCAAAGATTATTCAAAGTTGTCTGGGGAGAAATAAACATTTCTTTAGTATGTGTTATTTTATTTATATTGTAATATTGTTTTGATGATAAATTTAATGTAACAGGTAATTTGCAGTTCTTGCCTATTCTGTAATTAATTTCATGAGACAATCCATATAAGCAAAAAAAATAAATGTAAAATGAAAGTATATGGCTGATATAACAAAACTTTGCCATAAAAGTCATTCAATCCCATTAAGCAGGAACATACACCATTTACCCAACCATATTGGGTGATATAGCTTATACATCATTCAATGTTCTTTTCAAATTTCAACAAAATTAACAAAAACACATACTTAAATTTTGTTCCTCTCGGCATGTATCACTTGATAGTTGATACCCTACATATGTATGTGTCTTCATATACTACAGATGAACATCACTTTGGCTATGAAAAACAGTTAGTTGACATTCCAATACAAAGTCATTTAGTGAAAGCATATATAAATTAAGAAGCAAATTATATCAATAGACACATTTAAAGAAATAATAATGTATAAGGGTATATAAACATTGTCCCAAAAATGGCTGAGGGTATAAACTAAAAAATACGGCTAGGTGGGTGCAAACTGCTGTGAAAAAAAAAGGCAATACGATGTACTAAGCTCCCGCCATACACGGGGTCCAGGGAAGGGCTGGACCACAAGGGTCTATTGCCCTGGGAAGGGCCCGGTACAAATTGTTGTATTTTCAAAAATTGCCCAAATACATTTTGTTGATGGTAAACAGTTGAAAACGGTTTTAAAGGTTAAAATTTCCATTTATGAAATGAATACTAAACAAGTCACATTAATGGTTACAAAAGTCTTTACACCATTTCGTTTCCTGGAGCAAACAAGTATCACTTTAATTTGTCCGTTAGTAACAAATAAAGAAACTCTAATTTTTTCCTCATTATAAAATCATATTAATGCAGTTCAACGTAGTACCTACTGGCAGTCACTGGGAACAATTTTATATACAAATGATTAGTTAAGATCTATATATTGGTAACAGATATGTACTTAATACAGATGCAGAGATATATCAACCATTCAAGGACCCCTTGCAGAAGCAAGCTGCTTCTTGAGGCTGAGGATTTCAAGACCACTTGAAACTAACTGATCTTTCAGCTTTAATGAAGCCTCCTCAAACTTCTTGTTCATTATGTCCATCTCATCCAGCGCCTCATTGTACCTCACACGAAATGCATCCAATTTTGATTGTGCCCCTCGAAGTCTCATTCTCAGCTTAGCTTTCACATTGATATGGTTGACTTCATCCTGTTCAGACATATCAGATAATCACATCCACTCTCTTTTGCAAATAGCAGGACAGTACAAGGAAAATAAGCTTAAAATAAAACGCCTGACTTGGCTCAGATTGCTCTTAGAAGTATAAAATAAATCGCCTGACTTGCCTCAGATTGCTCTTAGAAGTTACATATGCAACTTGTCACAAACATGTGCTGAGTTCATAGTTATTCATACCCAGGATACATCGCTTAATTACACATGCAAACATTTTCAGCAGATTGTCCTCATTATGCAGAAATGAAGCAAATGCAAAAGTTACATATAGAAGCAGATGCAGAAGCTACTCTTTACAGTTGCTTCATAAAGAAATTGGCATTATGAGTAGAAAGCAAAAGCTACAAAATTATTTCCCTTCTTTAATCTCAATCATCACATAGAGATAGAGTATAATATTAAAAACCAAGAAAAAAAAGAGAAAAGACAAACTATAAAAATATAGCGACAAAAGGGTAACCTGTCATCTGTATATATCTCATCATAATCAAATATAGCTGCAATTGACCATGTATATGATTACTTACATCATGCATTTTGATCTCCAAAGATGAAAGCTTCTCGCTGAGCTGACCGACTTCATGATCTGAATTTGACAGCTGACAACCGAAATATAGTGTTATCCTCGAGCATAGTAGAGAAAGAGTAAGTAACATAATGAATTGGTAAATAATCTGTCTCAGATAAACGAGAATCACATCTCCTTTACTTGTTCTGAAAGAAGATTTGACAATTAGCATTTCATGGCATTCAAGTGTAAACCTGAAAGTCATCTTTCTGAATTGGCACCGTCTCCGCTTCTCTTATACGGGCTAACAGATCTACTCTTTCTTTGCTAAGCATGCTTAACTCCATCTGAAGCCGTTCTACTTCCTTGCGCAGATCCTGATGCTCCAGTGTCAGCATCTGCAGTTGCAAAATGTGACATTTCATTAGAAAAAGACCAGGTGTGCAGAATGGCAGCAACATATAATGATGCTGGAAACTTGGACAAGAAAAGGATATCTACTGAATTGGTGTGCTACAGAAAAGGTCCAAAATTCAAATAATATTGAATTAGATTGAAATCAGGCGATAAGTTTGTCATGCAAAGCTGCTGGTGGTGAAGAAACTGACAGCATCACAATGGCATTTAAGATTTTGTAATAAGCTTCATCAATTAATGATTACAGTTTCACTGGCAACACTCATTTTAAGTGCCTCCACATTATAACTGGATATTTGACAATCATGATTGAAGTTTCTTTAGGTTCAGATCACATAGTTTAGAATAAACAATCATGGGAGCGTTTAGTGAGTTCTCATTGGCAGATGTGGAAGTCATTGCCCCTTTTTTTTCATTTCAGTGTTTTGTGAGAGTAAAGAATGCACTTGAGATACATATAAATTTTGGGATTATTTTATAGGTGATAACAGTAGCGTGAAATTCAACTCATTGGCAGATGTGGAAGTCATTGCCCCTTTTTTTTCATTTCAGTGTTTTGTGAGAGTAAAGAATGCACTTGAGATACATATAAATTTTGGGATTATTTTATAGGTGATAACAGTAGCGTGAAATTCAACTCATTGGCAGATGTGGAAGTCATTGCCCCTTTTTTTTCATTTCAGTGTTTTGTGAGAGTAAAGAATGCACTTGAGATACATATAAATTTTGGGATTATTTTATAGGTGATAACAGTAGCGTGAAATTCAACTCATTGGCAGATGTGGAAGTCATTGCCCCTTTTTTTTCATTTCAGTGTTTTGTGAGAGTAAAGAATGCACTTGAGATACATATAAATTTTGGGATTATTTTATAGGTGATAACAGTAGCGTGAAATTCAACCAAAAGTTAGAAGTTAGAACTATGGAAAAGCACTCTATATGGTAAAAGTTTTAAAATAAGTAGAAGAAAATATGCAATTGCAAGCTTAGCCTCCTTAAGTAGAAGGAAGGTAAGGAGATTGGATGGGATTGTGGTGACTAAATGTAAGACAATTTTGATCTAGACTCAGTTGTCAAGGAGAATAGCATGAAAGGTGAAATACAACACATAGTGGATGGTTAAAACGGAGGAGTATCATGGGAGTGCTGGAAGATACCTAACAAATGAAAACGCAAAATTATGTGGAATGATTGTAAGACCAACAATGTCATATGAGAATAATGTTGGGTCTTTAAGACACAGCATATCCACAAAATGAGCGTGTTCAAATCACAAATAGCAAAATAGATGTACGGTCATACAAGATCGTACCAGATTGGAAATGATCACATCAGAGAGAGGGTGCTAGTGACAGATGTGATGAATAAAATGGGAAGTGGCATAAGATGGTTTTCATAATGTCCTACACAGATCTCTGAATGCACAGTTGATAAGTGTGCCATTAAGATGATTAAGGATACCAAGATGGGACTAGGTGAGGTAGATCATCAGGATAGTGTTATCACTTTAAACTTTTGCCAATTCTTATCCTTTTAGTTGAAGATAAGAATATTAGTAGTTTCCAGAGTCTAAAGTCCAAACCTCCCTTTCTATATGGACCAATATTTGGTATGTCTATGTTCTTTCAATCTTTTACTGGGGACCATATAGCCATATCAGGGCTAATTTGCTTTCTTTGACAGTAAGAATCAGGCGCAAAGGAAGAAATTACGTTGCAAGGGAGCCTCATTCCAACTCGTCTTTGTAGGAGAAACCTTCAATAAATTTTCCTCTTACCCTACTTGCTGTCGGGAGAATATTCCTTTTTCCTTCTAGGGGCTTAGCCTATTCCTGTTCATGTGCTTTGTTTTGATGGACTTGCATAATATCGAACAATTAGTTTTGTGAGAAGGCACTGGAGAAAATATGATATATTGATATTGTATGTGATGCAATACAAGAGGTGCTATTTATAGCTACTCTATACAAAGGGGATACTACTCCTATTCCAATGTGGGACAATTACATAGCTATCTCTAACACTCCCCCTCAAGCCGGAGCATATAAATCATATGTACCGAGCTTGTTACATATATAATCAATGCGAGGACTAGTGAGGGACTTGGTGAAAATATCTGCAAGTTGATCATTCGATCTCACAAACTTCGTAGTAATATCTCCTGAGAGTATCTTTTCTCTGACGAAGTGACAATCAATCTCAATGTGTTTAGTTCTCTCATGAAACACCGGATTTGATGCAATATGAAGTGCAGCTTGATTATCGCACACAAGTTCCATCCGACTGATTTCACCAAATTTCAACTCCTTGAGCAATTGTTTGGTCCAGACTAGTTCACATGTTGCCATAGCCATTGCTCGGTATTCTGCTNATGTTTAGTTCTCTCATGAAACACCGAATTTGATGCAATATGAGGTGCAACTTGATTTTCGCACACAAGTTCCATCCGACTGATTTCACCAAATGTCAACTCCTTGAGCAATTGTTTGGTCCAGACTAGTTCACATGTTGCCATAGCCATTGCTCGGT